GTGGTCCTGCCTGCTGCTGCGGGCCCCCAGGGGGGCGTCACCGTGCTGGGCCCGCCGGGCCGGCGTCCGGCTGCCCGAAGACCTCTTGTGGTGGTACACCAGCACGTAGTCCACCTTGCGCCGGCCGTCCCGGAAGTACAGGCCGTACTTGCACTCGGCGTCCGGGTCCACGGACAGGGAGCTCAGCAGCTGAGGACGCAAGGAGAGAGCGCTCGCTCACGGTCCGGCTGCGCACCGCCCGTCCCCGCGGTCACTCGGTCATCAACAAACGCTCCCCGAGTGCCCACCCGTCCACGTGGTCACTCGGTCATCAGCAAACACTCCCTGAGCGCCCGCCCATCTGCTCGCTGCTGCTCAGCCCTGAGGAGAGCAAACCCCGCGGGCCGCCCCCTCCCTCCCGGGGGTTCCTGGTCTTTGGGGCAGGCTGGATGCAGGGGACCTGCCTGGCTGCTTTCAGAAGGCTGCAGCAAGAGTCACCAAGGGAGGCCGGGCACGGCGGCTCGTGTCTGTCGCCCCGGCACCTTGGGAGGCCCAGGCGGGCGGACGGTTTGAGCCCAGTCTGGGCAACACGGTAAAACCCCATGTCTATTCATTAAAAAAAAAATTTTTGCCAAGGGAGGTCAGGTGTGGTGGCTCACGCCTGCAATCCCAGCACTTTGGGAGGCCGAGGCGGGAGGATGGCTTGAGCCCAGGCGTTTGAGATCAGCCTGGACAACACAGTGAGATCTCGTTCTCTATGAGAAAAAAGGTTCCAAGTTGAAGCCCCCACAGGAAGGGGTCTCCGCACGTGTCGACAGGGTCCCGGGCAGAGCAGAGGCGAGCTGAGGGCCGGTGTGCACAAATCCCAGCCTCGGCCGGCCGGCAACAGAGGCAGCATGTCTCGGAGGCCCCAGCGAGGCTTTCGCGGCTGTCGCCTGGGTTCTCCCAAACATGGACCCCGAGTGGAGGCCTGGGTGCACATGTTTTATCTGCAGGATGGTCTCAGGGTGGCAGAGTAGGGAGGGAGGGAAGGAGGTGGCTGGTCGAGGGGCCGTGGGGGCTCCCTCCTGCCGGGACCCTCGGGGCGGCCCTGAGGACACACCCCGGATCTGAAACTCTGGGGGTGAGGGAACTGGGGGGCTGTGCACCAGCTCCGGGTCCCGGCCCCTGGGGGTTCAAGCCCTGGTATCCCTGCTTGCCCTGCACCGGGGGATGCCGGTGGGTGCAGAGGACAGACAGCCACCTGCCGGGACCTGACGGTCCACCAGCGCAGGGACCTGAGGGTCTGTCGGTGTTCTGGGGGGGGCGGAGTTGGGGCAGCCCCCACAGGACTGGCCCCATCTGGGTCGCCGTACTTGTCCGAAGGACTCAGGGGACCGAAGGAACTGGGAGAGGGGGACAGCTGGTTCCAAAGGCCAGATGTCCACAGGATGCCTGCGGCAGCTGTGAAGCCAAAGCTGGATTTCTAGAACTCCCGTGGGTCGTTTGGTTATCAAAAGCAGACAGGTCAGCCGGCCAGCCGGGATTCCGAAATGAGAATTCATGAAACCACGCTGGGAGGGAGCCCCTTTTAAAAAATTTTTTTTTTGTAGAAATGAGATCTCGCTGTGTTGCCCAGGTTGGACTTGAGGTCCTCCTGGGCTGGAGTGTTCCTCCCACCTCAGTCTCCCAAGGTGCTGGGATTACAGGCACATGCCACCAGGTCCGGCCAATTTTTAATTTTTTAGTAGAGATGAGGTCTCTCTATGTTGTCCAGGCTGGACTTGACATATCCTGGGCTCAAGCGATCCTCCCGCCTCAGCCTCCTGAAATGCTGGGATTACAGGCACACGCCACCACGTCCACTAATTTTTTGGTTTTTTTTTGCAGAGGCAAGGTCTCGATAGGTTGTCCGAGGTGGTCTCCAACTCCTGGGCGCGAGTCATCCTCCAGTCTCGGTCTCCCAAAGTGCCGGGATGACAGGAGTGAGCCACCAGGCCGGTGAAAGCATTACTGGCAGCTCCCTCAGCCCTGGCCTCCCTGCCTGCCATCCATCTCCGAGAGGCACCGTGTAAGAACAAGTCTCCCTGATGGAGTGTGAGGCTGGCGTGTGGCTTTAGGTGGGGCCCTGAGCACCCGTGGCAGAGGACAGAGCTGCATGGTGTCATCGGACTGGACCATCTCCCCCCGTGGCCACCCAGAGCCCTGGTGCAGCTCCTGGCTGGACTGAGAGTCTTTCTTTCTTTGAGTCGGGATCTCACTGTGTTGCCCAGGCTGAAGTGCAGTGGCACCATCACAGCTCACCACAGCCTCGACCACCCAGGCTCAAGCAATCCTCTCGCCTCAGTCTACCAGAGTGCTGGGATTGATGGCGTGAGCCACCATGTCCGGCTCATGCTTTGATTTTTTTGTAGAGACGGGGTCTTACTATGGTGCCCAGGCTGGTCTCAAACTTCCAGGCTCAAGCGATCCTCCTATCTCGGCCTCCCAAAGTGCTGGGATCACAGGCGTGAACCACCGCGCCTGGCCGGGGCTGTGATTCTAAAGGGTTGTGCGTTTGATTGGGAGAAACAGTGGAAAGAATCCCTCACTTAGGGGGCGACCCAGAGGACATCGAGGAAATTGGAGCACGAAGACCCCACTGGCCAAGGGGGAGGCTTTGGGGCAGGGCTGGTGGCTGGGGCCTGGCCCACTTTTCGTGTGTGTGGACAGCAAGGCAGAGGCCTCTTCCGCCCGGACAGGGGACAGGTGAGGCCATGCCTGGGCACCAGGCTTCTCGGGCCCCAGACTGCGGCTGGTGAGACAGCCCCCCTCACCGCCTGGCAGGGCACAGGTCGGCAGGACGCAGGATCGGAGTGACCACCTGCGACCCACAATCGCACAGGGTCCGGCGTCCTGGCCAGCTTCGGCAGACAGGACGCCGCGTGGACATCCCCCAGCTGGCTTGCTGCGAGGGTGCTTAAGGGCCGGGACCATGCCCTGCGGGCGGCGGCCTCGGGAGGGGGTGGGGCGGGGGCTTTTGAGGGCGGGAGGGGTCCCACGTCCAGCCCAGCAAAGGACTGGGAGCACGGCCGACCCCAGCGCCTCCGTCCGCAGCCCCCACGGGGTTTCTGCACGGGAAGCACGAAAGAGTCTCAAAGGGGCAACTGAGGCCTGGCGAGGCAAGGAGGTCGAGTTATGGAGCAGGGAGGAGGCCGGGCTCAGCCTCAAATCCCTGCACACCCAGACGCCTGCACACCCAGACGCTCCTCCCTTCATGGGGACACTGGCTCAGGGGGACGTCAGGTCCTGGGGTGGGCACGTCACCTCTGAGTCCCCACAAGCTGACCCTGGAAGGGGGCTTGTAATCAGGCTAATTTGAGCTGGGGAAAACTGAGGCACCCACGGAGGGCTGCCCACCTAGCGGCCCTGGGCACCAGGCTCCTGCTGTCTGGCCCCAGCGTGGGGATTCTGCCTCTGGTGCCGGGGACAGTTGGGAGGAGCACGGCCATCTGCAGGCCTTGGTTCCGTGCCCCCAACCACGGAGCCACCGGGCAGGGGTTAAGTCGGGCCAGTACCCACTGCAGGTGGGCGGAGCTTGGGCAATGCCCGGCCACGGTACATCTGGGACAGCACAGGCGACAGGTGAGGCCGGCGCGGGACAGGCGGTGGCCTCTCTGGAGGCCCCACCGGCGGCCAAACCGGGGTCTTGTCTGGCCTCAGCCTCCCTCTGGCT